ATATTTCGAATCATGAAAAGTTTTGGTCCTAATAGTTTAATAGCACTCACAAAACGTAATGAGAAGAGATACCAAAGTTCAAGATCAATGGCCAGAATAATCCTATGAATAAACATATTTCAATACGAGTAGAATTAAATTATTAAACAAAATCTTTTACCTTGCATCTGTAACAAGATCTGATCGATTTTCTGATCGAAAATAAAGTATAATTCCAATATAAAAAAGAAGATAGGGCATTGCATATATGGGAATCATCCATATGCCCGGTCGATGCCATCTTTCCAACATTCGTGTATAATAATCAACGGCCAACTATATTCATAGTAGAAGAATAAGGTTATAGCAGATGTGTCTCACTTACTTTACGAAAATCTTCAATAAGCATTGCTGACACAGTAATAATCAGATAAATTTTTGTCCAATGAACTGAATTTTCCTCTATGTTCATATGAAATAACATCATATAACTAAAGACAAGTAGAAACCATATATAGATTGCCTATAAAAATATGAACGTATTTTACACTACACGATAATGGATGTTGATAACTCACAAAATCATAGCACATCTTGACAACAGGAGCTGAATGAAAATAGAATACTTTTTGAAAGTAATTAGGAGATTTAATCGTTTGATCTTCGATTCCTTTCCATCTATAATGTATATTAATATATATATATTGAGCGAAAGAGACAATAAAATACCTATGAGAATCATTCTTTTGAGTGTTATCATTCTTTTGAAACTAGAATAACAAACATCAAATTATAATGAAAAGATGTAGTTGAATTTAAAAACAATCTTACTATTTCTTGTGAAGTTTGATCGACAACATCTTCGGCACTATATTTCCTAAGACGATGTTTAATCAATCCTAATGATATTAAACTGAGTAAAAATTTTAATTTTGCTATTGATGATTCAGTTGCATTGCCTGGTAAGTGACCAAACCATTGTCGGTTTAATACTTGATTGAAACAGTCAGTATTGATAAATTGTATGATACGTGATGCAATTGCTACCTTCGATAAAAATTCATAGTACATACTTATTAGAAAAAAAAAGTCAATTTGACTCACTTGCATACAAGTAACATTTCCAAAAAGTGGATTTTCACGTAAAAGAAGTTGACAAGCAAGTCGTTCATTATGTTTATAGCAGGCGTTAATACAATCTGTAGCATATGTTTCATATTTTTTTGCCTGTTCAATGTATGTATGCCGTACATCCAAAGTACTAGCAAATAAAGATAGATGCTGAGCTATACCAGCTGCGATCAATGCTGCGACCATTCGTGATTCAAGTTGTAACAAAAGAACAAAAGCAATATCAGCATAACCCGTATATACACTCCATAGAAAAAGTTCACGTAACATCTCTTGGCTACTGAATGGTTTATCACATGTATAAGTTATATACGATTCCTCACTACCGTTTTCTGTCGATGAGATTTCATCAATATCATGAATACGACCACGATAGACGAATAATATGACATCTTGTAGGAATTGACTGCGTTTAGTTTGCTCGAAATAGAATGAATTAACGTATGGTCCAATTAATTGTGCATAAGTTGCATCAAGTTCCTTTAATGTCTTTGGAATACTCCAATGCTAGAAGAATAGCATATAACTATGGTAAGAGAATATTATCAATAGAAATATATCTCACATCAAAATGTGTCTGAAAAGGTCCATAGAGTTCCTTAATGATAAATTTAAGAGCGCATTCTGCTCGTAGATTATCTTCCAAATTTATTTCGTTTTCCAATGATTGTTTTCTTGACTGATCTGCCTTACGATCTGAATTGAATTTATTGTCATTGTTCATTGTCATTCTCAACCTTTCAGAGTATTTAAGAAATTCAGTTGTTTGAAGAGGATTATGATTTCGTCTTAGAAAATAATCAACAAATACTGGTCGATTTTCTTTGAGTGCTTGTTCAAATAAACTAGGGTAGAGTTTTGGATCATCCTAAAAGAAAATTGAGATACTTAAACAAAATATCTTAAAATTATTTTTTTTTTAATAATTTTGTTATTTTTAATATGAAAAGACCTGATGTACATACTTCGAGACGTTTAGGCATAGATTCTGCTCTATCTGCATAATTCCAACTGATAGCTAATTTGAGAAACTTTTTTTGTTGTTCTGCATCAGCATGAGCTAGAAAATAAATTATCTTTTGATACTCTATGTACGGAGAATATACAAATAATTTTACCAGTATCCACTGCTTTAAAAATAATATCAGTAAGGCTTGGATCACGTTCAAGATAAAATACATTCAGATTCTTGCGATACTCTGGTTTAAATAAATCTCTAATAGCTTCAATGATGCTGTTTTCATCTTTTTCTTTGTCTTGTTCAAGCTTAGACCAATGTTCATGAAAAACTGATTCAAGTTGTTCTTTTACGTCCTTTTCTCTAAATAAAAGACACTATGGAATACTCAGCGAAAAATTTACACAAAGATTCTTCATACTCAGGTATAGTTTCTTTGCTTGAATTTTCGAGTAATGTGCCAAGAACGTTTGCCAAACGGCCACTACCATGAATGATGATTACTGGTCGCTTAGCCATTAAATCATGTTTAATGACTTCCAAAGTATTGAAACCACCTTCAACAATGATCGTTATAGCTTGGCATTTAAATTCAGCACATGCGCTCTTAACGAAATCAGAACGAGGACGATCATCAATATAACAATTTACACGACCATTGTCTAGTAGAAGAAAATGTGAATGATTTTTGTCAAGTGTTTTTTCTTCATCATAATTCAATGTTGTCGGCGCTCTTTGTCCAGCAAAATGTGCGAAAGTAGTATACAATATGTTACGTGACGCCTGAAAGAAAACATAAACGATATGATTAATGATAACATTCAAACAATTACAAATTTTACCTGCCATTTGAGCACATTTTGAGTGTGTTCTGTTACTGTTCCCCAGCTAGTTAGTCCGATAATAGTCGGTTTACACGAGTCTTCGTTCAGTAATCTGTAACGACGAACACTCTGTCCTATTAGTTTCGACACACCCTTGTTCAAGCCAGTTGTCAACAACCACACACCTATATGAACAACAAAAATTAAAACGATTTTTTTCGAGTTCCAAATCAGAATATACCTCTCGTGACTGCCGCTTGTGAAATACCATTCATAAATTCTTTCTCCAATTTATCAGTCATTGTGAAGTACTCGGCTCCACCAAAACAACTGATAAGCAAAACAGGTTTCTCCCCAACATGTTTCTGCATAATTTGGCATAATATTTTAAACGTATTTGATTTATCTGCATTGCATCGAATAAACTAATCACAAGTAAAATACTGTTAATGCAGTCTCAACGGAATTATAATGTGAAACACGTTTTAACTACTGTTATCAGTAGTAAGCGTCTAACACATATGATGACTTCTATGAATTTCCAAAAAAATCAATGACTTTTCGAAAATCAAAAGTGAATTTCCGGAAACCAAATGAATTTCTGGAACTAAAATAAACTAACACATTTACGCGCAATCTCTCGATGTGAATATCACGAAAACGCTTCCAGTACATCTCATTCGGTATGGATGCCGCGAAAGGACTGATCGAAAAGGGGGCTGACACTAAGTTATATGAAAATTCCTAATTTCATCTAAAATGATTCTTTATGTTCATAGTATATTGGCAAGCGTTTGGAATATCGAATAAGAGAACGACAGGAATAAGTAAATCTATTATCCTAATTACGTCTATTATGATCCCTTTGCAATAAAATGCAAAAAAAAAAAGTTTTCGGAAAATTAATAGAAAGCACCGAGTCGTACATGTTTGCCATGGTCTGCAATGTGGTGTTCGAAGATACCTGTCACGATCTATAGCGATGGCATGGGAAGCCGCAGAAAGTGATTCACAAATCTTGCCCTATACTGATAAATACATTTTAGATCGTGTTTCACAATAAAAAGTCATACTTTGTACTAATATGAATATATTACATACTTGGGCCCCATTGTTAAGCTGTCCATATACGGTCAGTTTCTGTTTAATGACAAATTTTCGACTAAAGGTAGCATTGGCATCCTGCATTTCTGCCAAACCATCAAAACTGTGGCAACTCGCCAATCGACCACAAGGACAAACTTTTGTTTGATCATCAATTTCTCTGTCATTAGTCGAGTAAGCGTGACATGTGACACTAAGCAACTCGTTGGATTCTGCTTCTTTATCAATAAGATCTCTCCATGTTGGTTTATTGTTTTCGATATCGATATGTGTCGATGTTTGAGTGTCATTTATAGCACCCACACGATTCAAAGACATCTATAGAGGTAATTATGTAAACTATCAGTTCTGTGAAAAAATTGAAATGAATGTCAGATCTGTAGAAAAGTAAAAATGATTATTTTTTTCTTTTCTTCCTTTCATTGTGTGACACGAGTAACAACAGCAACAACCTTGGCAACTCAACCATTGGCGTTTTTTCCGTCTAGATTTTTCTTTCATCATTTTGTAAGTTCTATTGAGTTGTTGTTTTGTTTTTATTTGATCGTGGCAAAACATCTCCATTTAGTGTCTGATCTTTGACTATAAAACCATGACTCAAAGATATAGAATAGCTTGCGACGAGCCAAAAGAACTTAATACCGTAGAAGAAGCGAAAGCAAAGATTCAAGACCACAAGCTTGCTGTAATTTTATTCAATGAGAGGTAAATGTTACATTTCTAATCACAGAATATTTCATTTGAATTCTATAACAATAGATATCCTGAGCCAAATACTGTAGAACATAAATTTAATTGGTGTCGACAAGTTTACGAACATAAGTTTGATCTCCATTGTTACAAATGTCTCGACGAAGACAAATTCAAGACTGGGTTCAACATTAAAGTAACACCGGCATTTATTTTCTTTCGAGATGGTGAAGAAATTGATCGATTTGAAGATGCCGATCAACCAGAGTCTAACGCACCAAAGGAAGAAAAAGATCCAAAAGAGTACCGAATCAGAACATATTTAGATAAATTATGCACTAAACAAAATTGACTTTTACGTCTTCTAAATAAATATCCTAAGTGTAAACTCACTTTTAGATCAAATTTGTCTATATTATATAGATACTAACCAACTATGAACACTTTATAATGATTTTTTTATCTGTATTGTGCTGCATTCGTTATGTTTACATTTTATAAGTCATTTTCTGACATTGTTACGATCTTCTCAAATGATTGCAAGAAGTTAAGTTTAGAAATTCAACTTAAACTTCTCACGGATAAACAAATATGAGGGTGAAGGTGAATTAACTGTATTTAGTACCTTGTCAGGATTTCAAGAAAGATAAATTTTTTACTGTAAGTACATTTAAATGAGTTAAAATTTTGAATTTAGAGGTTTCGTGAGATGTTCTCATAATTTAAAATATTTAAATAGACGATTTGAAAGAAATTTCTTCTATTCGTATCGACAGAATTTACATGACAAGTTCCATCTTTCTAATCTTCTTACAAAACTTTTATGTGCAAAATGTCCATCAACAACTGTGCAGATTCAATATCATGAAAGGTCTTACGCTGATCATTTTGTTCTAAAAATACGAATGAAATCGATTGAACGACGTTTATGCAATACTGATTAAGAAGTAATGTATTACTATTTCAATCCACGATCGTGATGTTTCTTTTAGAACAATATCTATATAAAAAAAAGTCTGACACAATATTGAATGAATGGACATTTGTTCATCATATTTTATTTTTTAAAACAACATAACACTTTGCCCTTCGATTTCTTTAATTTTATTGTTCACTCTTTCTTTACTCCTATGTATTTAGTTACTATTGAAAAAAAAAAAGATTAAATCCACCTTCTACAACACATTAAAAACAAAATTTCACATAGACTTTTTCACTTCATCTTTTCTTTCGACAATACATTCAAGATACGCAAACAACAAAAAAACAGAAAAAAAAGCATTTTAATTTCTTGATTTACAGAAGAAAAGAAAATAACATTGCTCAAACAGTCGCATTGTCAAGTATAAACAATGTAAAAAGAACAGAGGAGAAAACATTGATAATGTTCACTTCGGTTCTGATTTAGAATCATGATAAAGGCATAGAAACAATGTGGATAGTGTGGAATGTGCGCGTGTGTGAAATATGGAGTATGGATGTTGCTTAAAAAAAGATATCCACATCCACACCGTGGTAGTACATCATAATTAAAAGATTGTTATTCCATAAAGAGAGACAACCAAGAGAATCAGTTTAAAATATCTTTCTAATAATATAAAGCCCTTAATTTAAAACCATAAAATATAAGCAAAGTCTAAAGTCTAAACCATAGTTTTCTTCACATATTTGACAACGAGCATATGAAATTAGGGATGCCATTGTGATAATTCACTGTACACTGCTAAAGAGGTCAATTACTGTTATGAACACCAAGTGACTGGTGATGGAGAATTTGGTGAGGTTGATTTATTTGATGAGAAGTGATTTATTTTGTGACGATAATGATTTCGTATGAAGTTTGAAAGAATGCTTTTCAAGTCGAAGAATTCGATTCTATTAGTGATTTTTTCACGTTTTTGAGTTCGACCTTTTCAGGAAGCCACTCATATAGCTTCGGATTCCTCGATCCCGAACGCGCTTGAAAGAGCGTCAAATGCTGCATAAGATAGTGTATTATGTGAAGTTCTACTAAAATATTTTTTGCTTTTAAGAAATCATTTTCTAAAAAATTTGCGGCGTTTGACACTCTTTCAAGTATGATATTTGAAAAGAAAAACTACTCATTATGGAAAAATGAGAAAGAGTTCAACATGAACATTGTCAGTTGTCTCTCGTAAAATAAGTATTCTCATGTCGAGCCGCATAGCTGTAAAAGTCACATAGTCACAATAATAGTAAAACATCAGCAGGAAAACAGAGAAAAAGAATACAAAAAGTATCACATGATTCATAGAGCGATAGGTTGTATTCAAAAATAAGAAATACCGACTATCCAGATGACACCACGAGTCTTTATCACATAGACTGGATGGCTTCAGAATGGCCTTTAGCAATAACCGAAACTATCTTATATCTACTCTGCAATTAGGCAGTAGGACTCAAAATTTACTTTTCTGAAATCAAACATTTATTTAACATAACAACTTGAAAGAAAAACAGTGGTTCAATTGTTTTGCGACAAAAATCTTAATCATTCGACGGTGATTCCGTTACAGTGCTTTTGACCAGTTAGAATGTTTATAAAAATTTCTAATCAGACTATAAGATAGAGCGCAAAAAAGTGTATTTAGAGCATCATCTGTTCAAAAAAAACCAAACTTGCTGTTGCCTAAAAGCGAACTAGAAGAGATTTTCGTGACGGAATCACTTCTTTGTGATATTTATTTTTCTATCTAAAACTGTCACTATGGACATAAAAAAATGTATTTCCGTATGTTATTATCATCATTCTACATGACGACCATATTAGTTTCGGTTAATTCAGTAGATCAACTTTCTCCACTCAGGTATAGCCTTACGTGGACAAGCTGTTTAACAAAAAGTTAATAGATTTTCAAGACAGTTTTAGATTAACCAGCTTGCACTTGATGGATTATCCGTTTATACTGTGTGATACTGAATTAGAAATTACTTTCTATCATCAACGGGCATACTTTCATTGGTTCAAAACCAGTAATTAAGTCAACAATATAGCTTACTCTTGCATTTCCCCGTTTCAATTTACTGTAATATTTACTTTGTTATAGGACTATCGATAAAACCTGGAACTAGAAGACCATAGATGGCGAGCACAACGTCATCTATTGTGCGATTACGAGAACCATGAATAATTGAGAATTTTGATGACAAAGAGTTACTCACAGGGCAAAACGAACAAGAACAAAAGAAAAACGAAGCACAATCAGCTCGATCAGGTCGTTTCAATATCCTACCAAAACGAGCTAAGGTTGACAAATTTAAGAATTGATTTGGACCGAAAACTCAAAAATATCGATAAAAACTTCTCTAGAGAAACAATTTATTTTTTTAAATCAATATCATAGTCAAGAGAGTTTTTTTTAATTATGTTTGTATATCGATATATGATTACAAAAACAAGAAATTGTAAGAAAAATAAACCAAATAATTCATCTACTGTTTTTATATGTCATGTCATATTAAAAATAATTATTTCAGTTCACAAATTATCAATAGAAATTTGTCTTCAAGACTAATTATGAAATCGTATTTAAAGAGGAATCTTCTTTTCAAAAAACAAAAACGACTTCTAAGGATGTATTATCCAAAATCATCCCATACAAAATGCAGCAAGTTCTTGTAAGTTCGACCACGTCACTGCGTTCAAGTTTAATACCTTAACTGGATTATAAATTCTAAAACTTGGTTGTGAAATAGCCGATAATTATAGGTAGATAATTTGAATCGTCAATAATATTCAAGGAGAAAATTCTTTTATATTAGAATTTATCCATAGAGTAAATGAAATAATGGACACAAACTGCTTTCACAAATATATACTTTTTTCAGACTGCTTTGCAGATTTTAACATGCACTTCGAGATTTATTTTTTAGCATTTCTGTCATGAGAGAAGTAGGAGCAGTTACATGAAGTTTTCAATTCACTGAACCATTATGAATAGCAAACAATACTTGTATGACTCCATACTTCGAGAACAAGAAAGGAAGAAACGTTATCTACTTGAGTATGAGAGTGTAGTTAGGAGTGGTTTTGAGTGCGGATGAAGATAATACTGACATCCATATTCACACACCTAAACAGTGCTAACCATTATCGAAAGAATTCTAAAGTGACTGATCTCGAACATATCATGCGTTATGAAAGACACGAAGAAACGATTTCCGAGATGCATCTGTTTTTAATTTTGTATTCAATCGACGAGAACTATGGAATGAAGCCAATTGACAAGCGGATGCGGTCTCTGTTCTTGAATGTGTCCAGGATTTCAATCTAAGAAATAGATCAAGTAGTGTTTCATTTCACTGAACTGATCGTCTACAAAGCATGAATCGAGAATCTCCGAAGGACATATGCCCATCGACATTGATTGAGTGTCAAACATAATCTTTTCATTTAAGAATGCTGAAACAGTCTTTCATTGATAAAATACGTTGATAGTGTTCAGGGATCCGATAACTGTTGCCATTGTTTTCTTCATTCTTGAGTACATAAAGATGTAAACTGCCATTTTAGTTTTCCTTACATTCAGTATGAGACTTTTTCAGTCATTTCACTTCAAACTTTGAATATTCCGATGTAATCATCTACGAAAAAATGTTATATGTGACAGATTTCTAGAAAACGAGTGCATTCGAAAAGCTAAAAGGCAGAGAGTGATGGAGCAGGTAGAGTGCTGAACAGAATCGGAGTGTGAGTGTGGGTGTGTGGATGTGAATCTTGTCTTCATTCGCACACACACACCTACACCCACACCCAAAAATGTATGATTCATATTATTATGTCGTTGTTTTCACTTGAACTTTTTCTTTTTTCTGTTCTTCCATGATAGCATAAAAAAAGCCGAAGAAACAATATTAGTCATTTTAAATTGCTGTGTAAAAGAAAAGTTGAAAACAAAATGTAATTTCGGATTCTTTGGCGATTTCTTTAGTATAGTGGCTTGAAATTACAACATAACGCAACTCTCTTTTTCATGACACTGCTGAGAGAATATAAAATTCAAGCATTCTCTATTGATGGTAGCATCCAAATTAATCTGAACATTTCCTACAGGTCAGATACTATGATTTTAGACTAGATATCACAAGACACTTGATTATTAAACGCTGTACAGTACAGTGAACCAAAATTGAGTTATTCGCTACATTTGCGAGGTGTTCTGGCACTAGTTAATCAGTTCTTATATGTACGGAATAACGTATTCTTACCAATCGTTTTATAGCTTCCTTCATATTTACGTTAGATAGATAGAGGATGTTCATTCTCGCATACATTGGAACAAATACGCATTCAATAGTACAAATAAGCTACCGTATTTTATCACATTGACTCTCTCGTACACTGATAAATGCGATTTAATATAATATCCACTCGAATGCTTTCAAAGCATAAACAGTCTTGCACTAATGTATAAAAGTCAGAAGTTGGACTTTGAAACTTGATTTACTAGAAGTATGTAATGTAAATAGTTAGCGCATACATCGTACAAACATAAACAGAAAAAGTAACATGAATGATAGAAATGAGTAATTCATGTGCATACACAACAATCAAATGAGAAAAGAAATTAGATGAAAAATTTGTGAAGATAACTAAAGACAAGAATACATAAGAAGCGCAAAAAACAAACATAAGTTACTGTTGAAAACAATTAAGATTACCAATTTAAAGCAATAAGTTTTTTCTTATAGTCGAATGAATAAAAGAATTGATCGAAAAAACTGATCGTCTATTAATTTATTGTTTATAATAAATAATGGAAGCAAGTAAAATTGAATAAAAATGAAAACGAATTCAATCGATTTTTGAGAGTTGATACACAAGTCAATTCATCAATGGTATGGATGAGTATCAAAACGTCTAAATTTGATAATAAATAAACGTAGATATCGGCTGGATCCTAGTACTTGTAGTGGAGATAATGGAATCCTTTAAAACACGACTCAAAAAAAAAATACAAACAATCAGCAATTGATATATGCGTACACTAATGATCATAAATAGAGGAGAAAAAAAAATAGAAAAGATACATATTCAAATGAATAACTAGTTTGACGCAGATAGGATCCATTCATAGACTCTTACTGTACATCTTAAAGAATTTCAGAATATAGAAAAGATTTCAAAATTCTACTGCTTATCTCTTATATCTTATATCACTTACTTCTTTTTCTGTTTTCATTCACTTTTGTTGTCAATAAGTTGTGCTATTTTTATGCTTGTTGAATTTCTTTTTCTTTACATTGAAAAGAGTTCTTCCTTGTGATTAAAATTCATCATTAGACAAATTTCATGGCTAACAAAGAAAATGAGATAATCGAACTAAATGTTGGTGGTACATATTATACAACGTCGAAGGCGACATTATGTTCGCAAGATTCAATGCTCAAATCTTTGTTTCATTTTCCACTAGTTTATGATCAACAAAAAGGTATCTTCATCGACAGAGATGGTCAACACTTTCGATACATCTTGAATTATTTACGTGATGGCTACATTGATATTCCTTCTGATCCAATTGTTCAAAATGAACTTTTACGCGAAGCTCAGTATTATTGTCTTGATAATTTAGTAAAATTTCTCAAGATAGAAATGGATGCATTGATTTTGTCTGATGAATTCAAATTTGTTGGCAAATGGATATATCGAACACATGATTACACATATGATTTCAAGATGACTCTTAAAATCAAAGGTGACTACAAGGAAGAAATGCAAAATGTCCCCATTGAAGGTTTTATTTTATGGTCACTAGAAAAAGCTCCAGAAAATTCACATATTTTTCATCGCATTGGAGATTATGGTCGAGAATTTGTCGAAGGTACATATTATAGAGATAAATATCAAATAGAATTTGAAGGTGTGAGAAAAGACGTTAGTGCTGAAGGTTTAATAGCTCTTGATCAATATCGAATTACTTTGAGTGAAGATGGACAATCATTTGAAGGTGTTACATCGGGAAATGAAGGTTTGTGGACTAATATAATAAAAGGCAAAACAGAAGAAGCTATCAGAAGAGAAAAAATAGAAGAACAAATCAAAGCTTATCATCAGAAAAACAAATAACAATCGGGCTGCTGAATCTTTTTTATATTAGAATAATTAATACACTATTCTTTTCAATAAATGAATCAATCTACGATTGTTATTGAACCTTCATATCAAAATGATATTTGTAGTGGCAGGAACTATTTTTCGTTTCAAAATCTAGTATATATTTCCATGCCTCTTTTTCCAATAATGTATAAGAGGAAATCCTTTTAAAACTAATTATTTTTGAAAAAAGAACATGTAAAAGAAGGCATGAAAATGGCTTGTCATCTATATCAAATTTCGATTTTGATCTTTGATTCAGATAGAGGGACTTCAAATCTATACTTTAAGATATAATGCGCATTGTTAGAGCCTGAGTAAGAAGAGTATCTTGGGTTTGGATGTCGGTGTGATGGGTGTGGGTGTGTATGATGGTGTGAGTGTGGGTGTGGTTGTGTGTGATGGTGTGGGTGTCGGTGCGATCAGAAGATCTAAACCCACACCCACACCCACACCCCGTGAATGTGAGTGTGAGGAATAATCCACTTGTTAACCCATAATCACACACCGTCTACACTCACACCCACACCGAAGATACTCACAAGAGAGCATTCTCAACTGTCACATCGCATTTAAGTCTAACATATGCGCATTATGTAGATCCTAACGATCTATGAATTCTCTGAAAAAGAGTCTGTGCCGCTAGCTTATTACTGTTGATGCTGCCTTTTAATGTATTTTTAAGAAAAAAGAGCTGTGATCCTCCTCAGAAACACTCGAAAAACTGAATTTTGAATTTCAAATTCAAACTTTGCATAGATATAGGCCTCAATGAGAATAATTTATTGTGAAAGTTTCAGTCTTTTTGGTTGTTCCTATCCTAAGATACAACTATGGTAAAATTGTTCGCATACACCAACAGATCCGACGTTCTTATTTCAGACTATGAGCAACCAAAAAATCTGAAATCTTCGCAATGAACTATTCTCATTGAGGCCTATCTACATGCAAAGTTTCAAGCGGAAACTTAAAACTCATTTTTGTGTACTCAAAAAGTGAGTACACTCTAGAATCGGTTAGTGTGTCCGTCCGACCGTTTACACGATAACTTTCGAAAGGAGAGTCCAATCGCGATGAAATTTTCTACACAGTTTAGTCTCAACAATATCTCGATCGAGTTCGAAGATGAGAATGATTGGCCGAGTCATTGCTGAGTTATTGCAAAAATAGTCATTTTTCCCTATGCTTCCCTATGAGAAGATCGACCCTTCTCTGTTTTCGTAAAAAAATTTTCCTATCATAGTCAAATAAAACCCCAACTATTATATACCATTCGATAGAGAATTTCACGAGCTACAAAATGGTATATAAAACATAAGGAAACAAGAAAACTAACTCACCTAGGGTGTGGGTGTGGGTGTGCGTAGGTCTTGGTGTGAATGTGACACATATACTCACACCCACACCCACACCCTATTAAGCGTTTTATCAAGTGTATATTTGTTCTTTCAAATAATTATGAAAACACTGAAATATTGTATAGCAGTCAAATTCATATTCTTCATATTGTTCAACTCTTTCTTCTGTTAAATAAAGCTGAAGTTCTTGGTATGCAGCTGCTAAGGTCTGTAATAGTGGATATTTTCTTCGAAAATATACGTGAATTCTACAAAAATACTTCTAATGAAGGTATGAGATTTTTCAACACCAAAAATAGTTTTTTACTCTCATCCTATTTTATTAAATACAACAACAGTACGAACAAAATCTTATGCTGAATCTAATACAGCACTACCTATATTATCAACAAATGGAAAAGATAATAGTGCTGAAGAAGTTATTTGATAATGAAACACGTGAATGTAATGAATATGAACGAGTTTTTTTTTCTTATAGAAAAAGATAAATTGATTTAACTGATAAAAATCAATTGTAAGTTAATTGACTAATATCATTAATGGTTTTCTCTAGAACTATCAAATAGATAGCAATGAACGTAATGGTCATATCTATTATCAATGTGTATCGGAAAATAAAATGTGTGAAGCTAAATATCTGAGTACTTCTCTGTAAAAAAAAAAAAGAATCGAAACTATTCAGATTCAAATCGATTACACTAAAATAATCACGAAAAATCGATTAAATTAGAGTCAATAACTGATTTTATCCTCAGAAACCTAAAAATCGGTTTTAGTCGATTTTACCCATAATATGTCCATGTGTGGGGACAATCAGAAAAATTAGATAATAATCAATTATAATTGATTTTTTTCCTAGAAATCGGAATAAGGAATTAGAAAGTCATTGAATTTTTAACCTTATCCATGTATAAAAAGATTTATAAAGAGCAGATTAAATATAATAATAACCGATAAAATTTCATACAGAAACTGATGAAAATCGATTGTATTCCTTGAAAATCAGTTTTAATCAATTAAGACCATTTTTTTTGTAACAAAATCACAATAATGGATTAAAAATCTGTTGGATTTCAATCAATTCTTAGTATTATTGTACTATCTCAATTTTGAAACAATTTATATAATAGTTCCAACCTTATTTTGATCGCTTTCGATTAACATGTGAATAATCGATTAAAATTGGATTTTTTTTTTAATGTGAGTAATCATAAATTTAGCAGTTCTATAAGAATATGTGATTCATTTGTTCCTGGAAGTGCTACACAATGAAAAGCACGCATTGTTCAATATTTGTGTATTAAATTGATTTGTTTTTGTGTTTATTATTTAGATTATCGAAATATTGAAATTTTTATTCAAATCTTTTTAACGATAATTCTTTTCATGATAATTAAGTTGCAATTAATTGAATAAAAAAACTTTTTATCAATGCGTTTTTTTTCTCTATTGTTGTGTTAGTTTGTGTTCAATAAGAATGAACATATTTGCTGAGACCTTGAGAAATTTGAATTAATCTAATATTCTATCTAACTGATTATTTACAGAATAAAAAAAGAATACAGATGTACGATTATAAGATTGTAATTCGATTTACACATTCGTTCGTTTGCTATATCCTCGACTAGGAGAGACAAAGCAAAGAAGAGAAAAGAAACGAAATACCTCAAACAAACATACAATAATATAGTTGTGATTATATTCACATAGTTTATTGTTCGGACGTATATGTACGAGGTCAATTAAACAATACATGCATATTTTAATAAAAAGAAATAAAAGGTTATAAGAGCACAAAGACAAACGACACGTTAGAATTCAAACGTATATATTATATTCATCAATGAATATATCTACGAAATGGATACAAAGTCATCGTGCTGGTTTATTATTTATATAATAGGTAGAATGGATATTACGTTTTGTTTTTTGAATTTAAAAACTAGAATTGCTTCCTTTTAGGTGTTTTAAATATTCTATCTGATTCAACTGAGTCACATATTCTATTGAATATAATAAGACAAAAATATGCATCAGCGAAACCAATCAACAATTTTTTTCAGTATGAATCGACTATTCCAACATCTTTAAAAACTAATACGGCAGGATTACATACGAATATTAACGTTCAATTGCTTATAACAAAATCAAATTCTTATCTATATAATTCCGATGAAGCTGATAATGATAATCAGTTAGATCGATATAAACGAGATGCAACTTCATTTGTTTGTAAAGGTAAATATTTTTTTTTTCAAATTTTTATTCTTTCTATTTATTTAATGGTTTATTTCTAGAGGATGGTTATTATCCTGACCCATCAAATTGTCGAATATATCATATATGTACATCAGGTATTGATACAACTACTACTTGTGCTGAAGGTACATTATGGGATCCAGCAAAGAAAATTTGTGGTTGGGAAAATACAATTGAATGTAAAAAAGGTATTCGTAAATGGGATCAAATAACAGATATTCGAGGTAGTAAAATAAATACACATCATTTTCAATTAGATTTTCTCTTGAGTGTTTCTTTTTTTTTGTAAAATTAAAGTGACTCTATTTGCTAATGCTACACGAGTAACAAGAAAATCAACGACAACACGTTTACCAATTAAAGTTGATTCAAATTTTACTTGTGAATATGATGCTGATGGATATTTTCCTGGTATTTACTTTTATTCATGATTTAATCAACTAAATATTTATTTTTAGATCCAAAATATTGTCATATTTATCATTATTGTGGTATTGGTGTACATACAGTACTACAATGTTCTGATAATCTTTGGTTTTCACCAATATCAGAAGAATGTGAATGGCCAGATAAAGCTAAATGTATATTGAACGTTTTTTTTTTTCATTGAGTTCAGACAATTTTTTGTTTTGGAATTTCAATAGGTACAGCAGCTGGTGATTTCTATACATCATCATTAATATCAACAAATCTCGATAATCAAAGTGAAAGAACTGATTCTTCTAAACAGAATACTCCTTATCCACCCATTCCGTGTCCAAAAGGGATTCAAGAACATTTTCGTGATCCATATGATTGTTCAACATTTCATTATTGCAATGGTATAATGAATAATATATTTTAGTTTTACTATTTTATGATTTAATAGGTGGTGTTGATAAATCTGGATTTTGTGAACCAGGTCTTTTCTGGGATAAAAGTAAGTCAAAAAAAAAACAATTCTATATTATTTTTCTGTTTATTTTTTTCTTTAGAACTTGGTTGTCAATGGCCAAAAGATGTTTCTAATTGTGAGTGATTGTCTTCAATATTTATATGTACGTAGTTTCTATTATTTTTTTATTTCAAAGGTGAACATAAATGTCCACCAAACGGGCAACCATTACGTTTTGTAGCTCCTGATAGTTGTTGTCATTACTATGAATGTGTCAATGATCATCTAAAAGAAAAAGTTTGTCCATTACATAAACTTTTCTCAGTTGAAACAAAAAGTTGTGAACATTTTCAAGTTGTCAAATGTGGTGCAAGAAAAAATTGTATTGATTCTTGTAAGATTTTTTGCTAGATATATGTAGATTAAGCTTTTCTTTGCACTCTAACTAAGAAGTAATCAATAGAAATTTATTTTTATCATTTTTAGATAAAAGATTTCTAACGTGGCTCTTTAATTTTTAAATATACATCTTAGCTATTTTTATTCAAATATGTTTTGTGCTATATGAATGATAAAAATCTTGATTTTCTCATTGAATACAATAGAAATAAAGAGATGTCAAATGACAAAGAAACATTGTAACATTTGTCTCTATACTAAACCAAAGCTGAAGTACAAAGAAAACCTTATATGTGTCTATAATACATCCTATTGGGGTTCCGGAATTTCGCCAATAGATCTCCTGAAGTTTCACCATCAGAATCTCTTGCATCCATTCTCGAATTGCTGCGATTCACTGCAGTCACAATTCTGTGTTTTGAGTCAAGAGGCAACTAGTCAGAAGTCTTGGAAATTTTATTGAATTCCGAAACTTCGAACCAGAATCGAGTCATTACTAGATAGATAAGATTTGATAGAATAATATTAGACTTTCTAATATCGAAACATTGCCGAATAGGATGACTACTCTTGAAAATAAGTCGCTAGTTTCAGAATTTGTCCTGCTATTTCGGCAAATCTGACAATCCTGACTCTTATTACAGTCGATCGAATAAGAAGCAAACTCGAAAAATTTCGAATTCACAAAACTTTCATCACCTGAAAAGTAGGCATTGTCAGCTAGTCACAGGATAAAAAAGACTGGGAAAAAAAAGAATCTCCTATCTGCGAAGTGACTGCTGAATTCCGCGTAGAAAATTTCATATAATGTATGAAAATATCGCTCGATCTAATGTCAACAAGTTATCGTTAATGCTTCGCTTATTCTGCACATCTCTCTCTTTTTTTTTTGTTCTACAGAATAAGTTTTTTTCTTATTATTTTTTCTATAAATACAGGTGATTATGATTATTCGCCATTATGTGAGGCTGTACCTAATTGTCGAGATAGACCAAATGGTAATTATGCTGATCAATATCGATCAAATTGTCAATATCATTATACATGTCTTGAGAGTCGTACATTTAATTATACATCATGTCAACTTGGTTTTCGTTTTTCTGTTCAATATCAAAAATGCTTACCTGCTAAACAAGTTAAATGTTTAGGGATTTATTTTAATAATCCCTTGTTATTTAAAATTATTTCCTTCAGCATTTTCTTCTTTAAATCCAGTATTTGAATAGTATATTTATTTATTTATTTATCTCATTTATCGGATATGATTGATACAAGAACGCTAGATTAGAAATGCTTTTTTTAAAAGAAAAATAATTTTAAGCAAATAAATATTTATATATATCTATACATAAATAGTGCCTGAATGAAGAGGACGTGGGTGTGAGTGTTGCTGTGGATTCCAATAGACTGATATCCATACGTCCTGATGAATATCGACAATTTAAATTAAATCTTTTAGAGAAATTCAATGATTTATATCAAACAACAAAAATATTAAATGTTTTCAGTAAGTAAAACAGATATTTCAATTGATGTTCTTCGAAAAATTTTATTCTAATATTTGACATTAAAAACAATGTCTCAATAGTCTTTTACTTTTTTTACACTCAGAATTATTTGTGATACTAAACAAAAATTCTAATTCTATGAATTCTATGTGTAGTTAACAGGTTAATGTTTATAACATCTGATAAAAAAAAAAATTGTTAATTTCATTATTGATAAGTAAACTTCATAGTTCGACAACAAGTTTTATGATAATATCATATTTGAAAGGTATGTAAGAAATATTCTTTAACTTTAATAAATTATAGAATTCGTACGAGAACTTTGATTTGTTCAACCAATTTTAAAGACTTCTTTGTGTGTACATGTTAGAAATTTGAATTATTCTCTTTCTCGAGAGATCTTGATCGACATCATAGCTGATCGTAGAAAAGTCGAAAGAGAAAAATATCGAAATTAGACACGTACTGAAAAAAAAGTGATATTAGCATACTGTGAGTCAGTACTGATACTCATCTTTGTAAGCTACCATATATCAATAACATTTGATGATCTATTTTCTTATTAATTTAAAATAGGGTTTACTAATCAAGTAGTGACACCTCTTAGAAAACCCTACTTATTACAACTTACCAAAAGATTGAAAAGAAAATCGAAGAATACGATTACATCAGAAACATTACGTCAATTCTATATTGCTTTTCATATAGGAGAAGATATTGATGAACGATTATATAAAGTAAATTTTAAACAAAATCTTCTAAAAATTTTTATTTCTATTTTAATAAAATTATAAAAAAATTCAAGATCATTTTTAAGTGTACATAGTTGTATAACACATATTGTACTTAAAATGATTGCTGAACATTTCAATGGCACGATGCTTATATAATTTCTTGGTGAATTTAATAAAATTCAACGTTTTATGTCAATAACTGATGTATTTGATGATTTAATTGAATATATAACAAAATATGCAATGATCATCAAAGAAATGTATATGAATTCTTTATTAAATAACGATGAACGTCGAAATTTTATTACAAAAAAATCTTATTGAACTAACGAAGAGATTATCATTATTATCTATTCACGGTAAATCTTTAAATATAATAATAAATACATAAAAATGAAAGTAAATACATCTATTTCGAGAATTTATTTGTTATTTTTATTTTCTAATGAAACTTCATGATACGTTAGGTTAGAAAATTAGATCTATAGCTGCAGAAAAGAAAAACAATGACATAGAAAAATGTTAGCATGGAATTGAAAAAAGTCATCAGAAAGGAGAGAGTGTGGAAATGGTATCAGTTTGAATGTATTCATCAATACCTCACACCTACACCCACACTCCAGGGTCGTAAGCGGACCCGATTTGGGTCTATGGAAAATCTTGGTTCTTCCTGAGAAATTGCGAAAACCTTGTTTAAAATATTTTTCCTCGAATACGTGTATCGTTATTTTAGATGCTCTCTTGGTAGTAGAAATTTCAGGAGGATCAATTGTATCCTCTTCGAAAACTAGAAATGGGCAAAAAAGAGAAGGTGATATCCTTAAGGATAAATATCGTTCAAAAAATCCATTTATAACCACTATATTTAAAAATGTTTTGTTCGACGAAGATAGGTATAATCGAAACTCAATAATAGACAATCAAAATTATCTCAAAACATATGAAATCATTTCAAAAATCAGTTGTAATCAATATTCTTATACAATGAATACGATTTTCCGATGTGAATACTCAATACAGTTTTCATGTTCGTTCTTTGGTAGACAATTTAATAAAATATCTCTACACTATGCAATTATAGTTGTGTAGAAAACTAAATTGAGGTTATCAGAAAAAGTAAAACGATGTAATCAAATATAAATATTTAATTTAAATATATAAATATAAACATTCTGTCGGAAGACTTTTAAACTTGCTGAACATCTCTAAGGAATCATTTATTTAGGATCAGAGTTTTGAATCGGAACAGTTTCTCTTATACGCAAATGATCACAGGACGAACAATCCGACAGTCGGATCCTATCGGAAAAATTATCGGATCCGATGGGGTGAGTTCGACCTGGGATTGTTCTAGACATAACGAAGAGTTTAGACAATTATTACAGTATATTCATTGTACTTCACATTTGAATTCTGTGTTGATTGCATTGAAAGCTTTTTCTATATATATGTCCCAGCAAAATATAAAAAACATAGCATCATGTCCTTCGATCCAAATGTTGAGATGGAACTAATAACCTATTCGGTACAATGAGTATTATGAGAAATATGAAAGTTAAGTATATTGGTGTTATTGAAAAAAGTTTGACAAAAAAGTTCAAATCGGTTGTTGATTGTCTATCAAATAACCAATGAGAGAAAACTAATTTTATGCCGAAGACATGAAAATATTTTGAACTACTCGGAATAGAATTATACTTTTGTTGGTCTCCACATTCACGCACTTTGCTATGTCAGCGTTCATTATTTAATAACTGACTAAGAGAACAATACACGTCCGATGTTTGTATAGCGATGCCAACGAAAGATTATACATATATATATATATATACGATGATACTTTTATGCACAGCATTTTCTTTCACGAAACGAACAACAATAGACAGATAGAATGAATCAATTACCATGCGAGTTATTATATGATATTTTTTGGTACATTGATCAATCGTTAGATCTTTTTCGAATATCTTGTGTCTGTAGTCGTTGCCAATCTTTGATAATGAACAAAGAATATTTTCTAAATCAAATGGTTTTCTCGATCATTAGAATGCTCACAAATATCGATAAAAACTTCTCTAGAGAAACAATTTATTTTTTTAAATCAATATCATAGTCAAGAGAGTTTTTTTTTAATTATGTTTGTATATCGATATATGATTACAAAAACAAGAAGTTGTAAGAAAAATAAACCAAATAATTCATCTACGGTTTTACATGTCATGTCATATTAAAAATAATTATTTCAGTTCACAAATTATCAATAGAAATTTGTCTTCAAGACTAATTATGAAATCGTATTTAAAGAGGAATCTTCTTCTCAAAAAACAAAAACGACTTCTAAGGATGCATTATCCAAAATCACCCCATACAAAATGCAGCAAGTTCCTGTAAGTTCGACCACGTTACTGCGTTCAAGTTTAATACCTTAACTGGATTATAAATTCTAAAACTTGGTTGTGAAATAGCCGATAATTATAGGTAGATAATTTGAATCGTCGATAATATTCAAGGAGAGAATTCTTTTATATTAGAATTTATCCATAGAATAAATGAAATAATGGACACAAACTGCTTTCACAAATATATAAAATGATGTAAATAGTTGTCAAAGTAATAAATATTTTTTTCAGGCTGCTTTGCAGATTTTAACATGCACTTCGAGATTTATTTTTTAGCATTTCTGTCACGAAAGAAATAGGAGCAGTTACATGAAGTTTTCAATTCACGGAACCATTATGAATAGTAAACAATACTTGTATGACTCCATACTTCGAGAACAAGAAAGGAAGAAATGTTATCTATTTGAGTATGAGAGTGTAGTTAAGAGTGGTTTTGAATGCGGATGAAGATAATACTGACATTCATTGTCACACACCTAAACAGTGCTAACCATTATCGAAAGAATTCTAAAGTGACTGATCTCGAACATATCATGCGCTATGAAAGACATGAAGAAACGATTCCAGAGACAACCATATTCACATCCACACCCACCTACGCATCCCCACCCAGATCCACACCCCACACCCTCAATTAAGAATGACTGCTTATGGGTATCACTGTATATTTACTTTGAAAAAATAAAGTGAAGAAAAGTGTAGCTTCTGTACCCGGTAAAGTAAAGATAAAGAGATATCCTTAGCACTGCACATAGCAACAGTAAAATAGTCATGGGAAGAGTAGATGATGAGAAATGGCAAAGAAGAAAACAAACTCGTATTTTTCCAAAAAAAATTCATTTCATATGGAATATATAGATCGGTATTTGTTTCTTTATGAAGGGTGTAGGTGGGTGTGCCTGCGTGGATATATGAATGTCCGTCTTCTTTCAATTAATACTCACACCTACATTCACACCCTCTTTCTTGTATCAGAAATGGGTGAGCGAATATGTAGAATAAGCGCTGCTGTCTTAGAATTGGACCAATATTCTGACCGTATTTTCTATACATGATGGTTTTATTGAACTGATCAATATATCTCATGGAAAAGACGATACGACGAATAAAATAAGTTTTCAAAATGATGAAATTTCACTGAGTTGCCAACAATTGGTATTTCTGATGACGTTTTCTCGTCAATACAATATCAGCAATCACAGTAATAATAATAATAGCAGACAGCAAAACACAAAGAACAATAATAATAGGTTTACCATCGGGCAAGCACTCTCCTGTTCCTGCATCGGCATCATGTTTATCTGGGCAAGCTTGCGGATACGTTGTACGGCATTGATCGAAGCAATCGCGACTCGGACAGGCAACCACTGGGAAACTGCCATGGACAGTGGGTTTACATGAATTTCCTCTGCAGCAGGTGCAAGTGCAGGTGTACGTATCACCATCGGTCAACTGCATAAAGACTAGAAAGACGATTAATGTTACAAGCAATGGAGCCGACATCGTGTTCATATCTGTAATTGAAAAAAGATTCGCTAATCGTGAAGATACAACGCACTTTATCGTTTCGTAAGTAAATGCTTGATCTAAGGACTTTTGTCAGAAGAAAAGTGTGTGCAGATATTGCAAACAGTGTGAAGTATGGATTGCTTGTTATTTTCCATATAACGCCTCTCTCTCTCTCTCTCTCTCTACCTGTATCGAGTCTCTTTTTTTTCGTATTCTATGATAAGGTCAGTATTTAAGTTTCTCGAAAGCTTTGACAATGGTTATTATTTGTCTTGATAGACAAATCGAAAAGTAAAATGCTGAAATCCAAGTAGCAAAGAAGAAAATGTCAAGACACCTGAGGACATAGAAGGAGAATGTTGAGAACGGTATAAAAACATTGCCTAATAGTGCGACAACCCATGTAAAAAAAACGACAAAAAACTGATTTTAGTCGATTTTTTTCTGATTAAAAATCAATTAAAATGGCACGATTTTTATCTAATTTATCGACGTTTTGCCTTAGACAAGTAAGTATGAATTGGAGTGTGGGTGTGGTGTGTATCTTCGCTACATTCACACAGACCCTCATCACACCCACATCCGCACCCTACAGCTGATTCATTGATCTAGAAAAAAAAAAGTTTATTTTAAATTTTTTGGTTATATAAGAAGATATTTACTTTTGCATCTTGAGTTGGTTGTGTTGGATGAATTTGTACTTGTTCTTATAAATCAGAGAATGTATCTGGTAGTTAGTGTAGTATTTTTGGTTGAGTAGGTATCATTGGAGGTACTGGAAGTGTTGGATACTTTGTTGATATTGGATAAGCTGATAAAAACAAAAAAAAAACAAGAAATTTATTTATTTGATAAATAATAAAAATTTTACTTGAGAAAAATGGCTATAGATAAACAGTTGATGCTAATGAAAGACCATGATTTTCTAGTACATATGTTTGAGGATATCCATTTTTTGAGATGAAATGTGAATAATTCATATTTTCATGCGATGATCGCATAATAGAAATTGCTGAAAAATTCTTTTAAGAAAGAATTTTTGATAAAATATCTATCAAAGTTTTGTTTTTTAGACTAACCATTGGTCGTGAATTATTGGCAGGCATATATGAATGTTGTAGAAATATTGAAGGAACATAAAATGGTTGAGGA